ATATTTTGTGTTTTTGGTGTATGCCCTGTTACATCATATACCAAAAATCTGTCCCAGACGGTCTTCTGATGTTTTCCCTCCCTTTAGCTGAGATCTGTTCTCACACTGTGAAGAACTAGGAACACTGTGGGATCTGAGACAAAGTTTTCAAAGCCTGGAAACTGCAAAAGCCTATTTTGAGCCATAACAGATGCTGCCGGACATATGGAACAGCTGAGGGGACTTGCACCAGGACTAAAAATGTTCTGCAGATCTTTATATCTCTGTCTCAGTGGGTGGGTTCCCTGTGGAACTGGAAACAGGGAAAGGGAGAAGTGGAGATGAGTGCATATCACTAATGTTTATAACTCTCCTCTGAAAAATTTGCTGTTGGGAAAGAGGAATCTCATATTTTGGGTAACATAGCATTCCTGGTGAAAGAGAAGTAGCCTAAAAATCAACTCTGATGTGGGAATGGGGTCATATTGACCTGTGGCTAACTTCAGGCTTGAGCTTTTCCAGCTCTGTATAAATTTGAGTATTTGAGGTCAACATGTAAACTTTTAATTAGTATATTTTATTATCTACAATGCTTTTATAGACAGCAAAAGCAGTCTGGGACTTGTGAACAAACAGTCTGGTCAATGAATAACCCTGTGCCTCTTTCAGAGCACAGCTCAGCTTTGAGAGTTTGAGTATTCCCAGCCCTGCAGGGATGACCATGGTGGTAATGGCTTGGATCTGCTCTGCACCTGGCAACGTAGCAGTGTGCGCATTATATGAAGCAGTAGTAATGGAGATGGAGAGGAAACACTGCAGCTGCCTTGTAGGTCCACACATGGATCTGAATTCAGTGGGAAAGGAAAATTTCAGAACCACAGAATCATTAAGTTTGGAAAAGACCACTAAGATGACGTAGTCCAACCTCCAGCCCACCCCCCCCCATGCCCACTGACCATGTCCTCAGTGCCACATCCACACGGCTCTGGAACACTTCCAGGGACGGTGACTGCACCACCTCCCTGGGCAGCCTGTGCCACTGCAGCACTGCTCTTTTGGAGAGGAAATTTTTCTTAATATCCGACCTGAATTTCTCCTGTCACAGCTTAAGACCATTCCTTCTCATCCTATTACTGTTACCTTGGAGAAGAGGCCAACCTCCAGCTTGCTATAACTTCCTTTCAAGTTATGAGAGTGATAAGCTGACTCTCCTCTTCTCCGGACTGAATAATTCCAGCTCCCCCAGTTACTCTCCATCAGACTTGTGCTCTAGTCCCCTCACGGCTCCATTGTCCTTCTCTGGACATGCTCCAGGGCCTCAGTGTGTTTCTTGTATGGAGGGGCTCAAAACTGAACACAGTACTTGAGGTACAGCCTCACTAATGCCAAATACAGAGGGACAGTCACCTCCTTACTCCTGCTGATTGCACTATTTCTGATACAAGCTGCAATGCCATTGGTCTTCTATGCCATTTGGGCACACTGCTAGCTCATATTCAGATGCTGTTGACTAGTAACCCCAGATCCTTTACCTCCAATCAGCTTTCCAGCCATTCTGCTCCATTCCTGTAATGTTGCATGGTGTTGTTGTGACCAAAGTGCAGGATCTGGCATTTGGTCTTGCTGAAGCTCATACAATTGGCCTCTGTCCATTGATCCAGCCTATCCAGTTCTCTGTAGGGGCATCTGCAAACTCACTGAGGGCGCACTCAGTTGCCTTGTCCAGACAACAAAGCTCTTGAACAAGGCCAGCCCCTATACTTACCACAGGGTAATACCACTCGTGGCTGGTTATCATCTGCATTTAACTTCAAAATGCCTAAGAATGAGCATTTCTCTCCTCCTACAATTCCACATCATCGTGTAGCTCATGTTCTGACCACTGGCCATATAAGATATCCTGCTGTCTCTGCAGTTCCCTCTCAATCCCTTTTCCCCCATTCTGGTGCCAGTCATTCTTTCACATACAGAGTTTCACCTTCCAAGAACATGTCTGTGTCCCTCACATGTACCTCCTGCTCATTTCATCACACATTTGCAACACAGCTCCACTTTTTATAGGGATTAAGCACGAACAGGTCTCTAACAACAATCCCACAGTCTCACATTCCTCACCTGTCTTCTTTCTCCCCTGCCACCTTCTTCCTTCCCTGCTTCTGTGAAATCCTGCTGCATTATTTCACGCTTTACTTCCCTGTGGGCCATTTGTTCCCCCACAGACTTTCCCAAATCTCAAAGCAGCACCACTGTCTCTTCCCACACCACTGTTTCTTTCCACTAATGACCACTGCACGAGTGATAGTAATCACTGTTACTTGTAGAGGTTAGTCTTGGTCCTCCCACCTTTTCTGGTCCTAGCACACAACTAGGTGTTATTTACACACTATTCTGTGCACAGGTACATTGCTCACAGTAACTCAAGAAAGATCAGCTCACCTGCATACTATGGAATTTTTCTCTTCCTGGTCCAACATGCCTGGCTCAGATGGCAGTCAAACAGCTCTTCTGGTTGCAAGTATACTGTCTTCCTCTCATCAGCATGTCCCATGTAGGGATTTTCCTTTGCCCAATTTGTTGTGGGCTTAATGGCAAATATCAGTGCTACTTGCCTTCCACCACAGAGAAGAGAAAAGATGGTTTCTTCTCTCCAGTGCCTCATGCCACAATGTGTTAATTAACTAAATGATCATGCAGGTTGAAACCCAGATGTGTTTGCAGTCTGCCTGAGTGGTGACACTGCCTATGCTGACACACCATGATTCCTTCTCCCACTGATGCTCCAAAACTCAACACCTCCTAAGAGCAGCTCCACAGATTCAGTGATGGATCGCATGCAATGTACCCAGTTGGACTCTTCAGGCTGTGATGTATGTATACTGAATGCTGCAGTGTCTGCAGCTTTCTGCAGGTTTTAACAGCAGGCCTGCTGGCTGCTGAACAAAGAATCTCTCAGTTTACCCCTTCCTGTTTTACCTTTGTCCTTGTTCAGGCCCACTACTTATCTATACAAAGGCTACCCAGCTTTTCCTGCCCCTGGTCCATTTGGGCAACTGGACTGTCCCTGTGATCAGCTTTGTGGGGCTGTATGGCATTGCATACTCATGTTGCTCTCTATAAGCTCTTGCTTGCTGTTGTCTCTGACTCTGTGGAAATGTCTTATATGTGCTTATCATCAAAGCAGAAAGAGCTGCCATTCATTATTTGAATTTACTTCTCCTCTGTTCTATTGCTTAATTTTAATGGACCTTAAGAAGGGCAACTCGGAACTATATCCAGTGATGGTGTGCAAATCAGGCTCTTATGTAACCCACCCCAACTTCTCATTATAGCATTTCAGCTGGTAACTCGCCCTGGACTGTCTTCTTCCTAAAAGAGATTTTCACTTACAATGAGAAACTCCCTGTCCTGAGGGAGTTCCAGTAAAGCTCGTACTGTCTATTGCAGAAAACAAGGGATGGGGTTGTTGTACCTTGACCTCTTTTCGTACTTGCATGTTACTGCTTCAGATTGAACTACTTGCCTTTCACCCCATTGCCCTTGGGTGAGCAAGTGTTGGCTACAGATGGCAACTAGCATTGGTGGAAGAAGGTGTGCTCTGAATACAGGCCATCCCTGACCCATGAGCAGCATTGGCATGGGAGATGTTGGAGAGGAGGGCATCAAAAACAAGGGATTGGATCTAAAATGGAGAGAGAGACTGAGGGGCTGTGAAACAGGCTTGGAGGAAAGAGAGGCAAGCTGAACCCTTAATAGAAAAGGAACAAAACAAAGGCAGGGCAGATTCCTGGGAGGAGAAGATAAGGGGCAATAGGCTGCCACCTTCCACTGCTGCATTCATATCAGGGAGCCACGGTCCTCCTTGTCTGTCTCTGCTGCAGCTGTGACCAGAGCTGACAGGATCATATATTCCTAATATACCAGAGTGTAATGCAAAGCTCTCATATATGCCATGGCTCTACTCAGAGCCAGAGGTAGGAAGGAAACAGTCTCACAGCCCGGAGTTGTGTTGTACTGTTTGATGCTTCAGCTCAGGTTGGTGACAGTCTGAGCATCCTTGATGTCTTCTGCTCAGTGGAGAGTGGCCCAGGGGCTGCAAACTAATTTATTAATGGACCTGCTCAATGCAAATAGGAAAAAAAATAATTAATCTCTCTCTATTAACGGTCACTATAGAGCTGGCCAGCTCTTGATATAAATTAAAGGAGACCCAAAGTTATTTGATTTTACACTTTGCAGCAGCTGATCTGTTCCTGTGCTTAGGTTAGTTGGAGGTCAGCAATTTCAAAACCTTTTCCTTGTTACCCTCTCTTTCCCCCCCCTCCCCCCCCTCCTTTGCATTCCTCCACAGAAGGAGCAAAGTACAGCTATATCATCTTTGTCAAGAGAATTCTGGGCAATTTGGGGAAGGGTGACACTACGCTCATGTTCGGTGATGATAAAAGGGAGTGATTTTTAAGCAAAAGAAAAGAGAGAATGAAGAAAAGACAAGAAATGTGAATAAAACATGATCTTTATTTTTCCACTAACTTCCCCCCAGTAACCCCCACCTCAAAAGACCTAAGATCTAGGTGAAAGAACAAAGTGTCTGCAGGGCACAATGGTGCTCCTGCAGTGCTGCATTGCCCTGGCAAGGAGGAACCACAGAGTTGCTTTAGGTGAAGGAAAACTTTGGGCCACATTCAGGTGAAACATCAGCCTTTCCTTTCCATCCCCGATGTGCCTGAGCTGCTGACAAGCACTATTGTGTTTAAGAGGGAGAGGGAAAAGCAGAGCTGCTGGAGAAAGAACTCATTCAGGTCATGCCCATGCCACGGAGTGCATTTGAACAGAGTCCCATGGGTATGAATTGCTGAGCTCCATGCTTGACTTGGCAGGAGGAGTGGCAGAGGCAGGGCTGTGCTCAGCAAGGAGCAATTGGCACATTGGTATCTGCATGTGGTACGCCTGGGGCAGAGGTAAAGATCCATGCAGAGCAGAATTACAATCTGAGCACTCTGCAGCCAAGACAGCAACAGAGCTGGGAAACAGTGGTCTCTGGAATGGTTTGTGACGGTAGGACCACACCAAGGGGGAGGAGGAAGGGGAACATTAGCTGAATCAGCATCTCTTCAGAGTCAGAAGAAAAATTATTCCTGCCCCCCTGCCAGCACTTTGTGCAGATCCAAGATACCGTTCCCAGAAGAGTCCCTACGTATGTTAGCAGAAAGACAACTGTCTGCACACTTTGCAGCAAGAACAGCGTGGCAACTGATGCAGCACAGTGCTGTGAGCCTGGGGTAATGCATCTCCTGAAGGGAAAGCTGTGGAGTGCAGCGCTGACGGGCTTAATCTGCTGACTGCCAGAGATCAGAGATCTTCTTTCTGACTCCAGGGATGCCTGCCTGCAAGATCCATGACTCAAAGCAAGCAAATGACTAGCTGTAGTGTCAGGGTTATGTATTACAGCATCCCCTTTTGTGGGGACAGCTGGATGGAAAAACTACAGTTCCCAGCACCCTTTTGTGCATGTCCCTGAAACTACAGTTCCCAGAACCTTTTCATGAGCTGGGGAGGGTGTACATGGAAGTAATTGCTGAGGAATTTTGCATCACACCCCATACTTTCAGTGCGGCCAGCCCTTGGGTAAAAACTGAAACAGAGGAAAAGCCAGGGAGCACTGAGACTGTGGATTTGCCCACACCTAATAACTGCAACACAGGGCATCCTTCTCCTCCTGGTGTCTCACTGGGCAGACGCAGGGAGGATCCTTGCCCCTAAGGGAAACACGGCTGCTGCGGAAGGAGAGCAAACTACAGATCCCAGCATTCCCTAGCAGGCAGCACCTGCGGCAGTCCCTGCATGCCAGGGGGAATGAGGATGTGGATGGAGGGCGGGGAAGAGATGAAGGGTGCTGTGGGGCTGCGCTGCACCTGGGACCCACCTCCCGTTGATGCCCAGGCCAAGTGGGTGAGGCTCAATGTGGGGGGCACCATCTTCCTTACCACCAGGCAGACTCTGTGCCGGGAGCAGAAATCTTTCCTGTGTCGCCTGTGCCAGGGCGAGGAGCTGCAGTCGGACCGGGTAAGGCAGCTGCATTGCCTCCTGTATCATGCCCCTCTGAGCACGAGGAGGGCTGGAGCCAGACCCCAACAGCTGTAGGAGTAACCCAGAGAAAAATACCTTCGCTTTCTCCACTATCCCAGAAAGAATTTTATCCTTCCAGTTACTGCCTGGCTGTGTTGTAGCCCAGCATCTAATTTCCCCACCTGGGGAAAAGCAAGGCTGTGTCCCCTCCATCACCTCAGATGCCCTGGGAGTACCTCCCAGATGTAGCTGCCTGACTCAACCTTTTTCTCTAGGAGGAATCTCTGTTCCGTCACACCAGGCCTGTACACGTAGTTGCAGGAGCTTGAGGTCAGATTTTTGGCTGGACTGGTCCATGCTGAGATGGACATTCTGAGCATAATAATGCAGGACTTAAAATCTAAGTGAAGTTATCTTGGCTATGGTCTTCTATAGAGATATAGCATATCTCAGGAGAGTGAATTGCAGGTGGGTACAGGCCAAGATGCCCCACATTTTTTCACCTCATGGTCTACCTCTTGTTGCTAGGATGAGACTGGTGCATACCTAATAGACCGGGACCCTACTTACTTTGGACCCATCCTGAATTTCCTCCGTCATGGGAAGCTGGTCCTGGATAAAGATATGGCTGAAGAGGGTGAGTCTTGAAGCTCAGAAGCTTCCCATTTAACCACTGCTGGAGCAGAACAGTAGAATTCGTAGTTGACTTCCTTGTCTTTCATTATCCTGAAGATTGGTGTGGGAGATTTGAGAAGGTCATCCTTGCAGCTCTTGGAAAGCATGTTTCCTTCACTAAGTGGGAATGGAGCAGGTGGAGAAGGCATCCTGTATGTACAGAGTCCTTATGGCTGTTAGTTGAGCAGAGGTGTCACTGAGATGGAAGCAGACTAGGTCTCTCATCCTCGATAGACTGTTTTGTTACTTGTTCCTGATACGCTTTTAACCAGGCTTTGTGACTGAGGTTTGTGTTAATGACTGAGTGTTTCTAATTAGGAGTGAAAACCCAGAAGACTAAACAGACCAACTGACTGTAATAAACCCCATAATTAATCAGTGACATGTAATGTATGCTAATAGTGCTCTGATGGGCTGTGGACTGCAGCAGTTCCAGTGGAGCAAGCCAAACGAACCAATCCCTCATTTGATGTTGACAGAGTCCAATAGGATAACTCAGTAACATCATCATGGTGTTACGAGCCAGCAATCCCCAATGCCTCATTATTTTTTGGATGTTAGGGACTAACAAGCAGCCAATTTCAAAGACAGGCTGTGCTGTCCAGCCCTTGCCAAGCACAGTTGCTGCAGGTTCATTAACCTTCTTGCCTCTCTTACATATTTTTACCAAGGAGTGTTTTATTCAGAGTCATTTTACGAGTTACAATGCAAAAAATATATCTAAGAAGTAGTACAGAATTGTAATAAGCACGATTCAGAGATGTTCCTTTCTTATGGATTGTCACCCTGCGGTCAGACAGAGTTCAGCCAAGGCTTTTAACACCAGATCTGAAACGAAAACAGGAGTCTTGTTCTGTTCACAGCTTATCTGTTGCCTTTTGCTCCTGACACAGACAGGCTAGCATGAAACCAACCCGTTAGAGGGCTCACGATTGAATGAGGGACTCTGAGTGGATCTGAGTCCTCAAGTAGGGAAGAATCAAACCCCTACCAGCACCGTCTGCATGCTGATTTCAATACACATGAATGTTGGTTCCTGAACTCCTTCCCTTCACTAACCCACTGAGAACCCACCTTCCTTTCCCTGATGACTTATTAGCAAGCAGGAGGGTCTCAGGAGAGGTGAAGGATGCAAACACCATGCAGAAAAATCAAAACAGTTCTCTATGTGCCTGCTCTGTGATGAAGCACAGGTGAGAGAAAAAAATTTTGAAATCGTATGGGGATGCAACTCTAACAGGAGGAGGATGGAATTTTTTTTCTGTGGACAAGCCAGAACAAATTGTGGTTCTCTACCTTCCAAAGAGGGCTGGAACAAAGTGATAACTAGTGGTCACTGAGAGCATGGATCCTACATTTATTCTGCTTGGCCTGTAATCTGAAAGTCAATTTTGGACTCTCTGGGAAATCATCCTCTTCCCTGGGAATATAATAGCAGAACTTGGCAACAACCTTCACTGTTCCTGTAATGGTAGACAGCATAAAGAAATTGGGGTGAGCAGTAGAACACAACACAAGAGGGCCAGTGCTCAATTCTCTGCAGTAAAGGTTTCAAGCAGCAGGAACTTGTTAAAGTTCTGAGTAAGGCTTATGTATCATTTCACCCAAGGGACATAACCTTGAGAAGTGTACTTAGAGTTGGCTCTTTTTGGCTTGTAAAACAATATGGCTGTTAACTTTGTGGTTTCTGTGTCATTCTTTCTTAGGGGTCCTGGAAGAAGCAGAGTTCTATAACATTGGTCCCTTAATCCGAATAATTAAGGATCGACTGGAGGAGAAGGACTACACAGTGATGCAGGTATTGTGGGAAACAACAAGCAAAGATAGTGAAGGAAGGAGGAAATGCTTAAAAGGAGAATGAAATCTAAAGGGAGAGCAGGTGAGGGAGAGGCAGAAAGGAATGGAAAGAAACAACTAATTAGAGTTTATTGCTAATCTCTGTTTAGCAAAATCTTGCTTGGGGACAGGCTAACACCAATTTAGTCACAATAAACAAGTTCCACATTTGTTTTGCAGCTCCAGAGGTAGTGCTGCATGTAGCCTCTGAAACAAAATTGGCTTCTAGAAGAAGCCTGCTAGTTGCTGTGGTTGGCAACCCTGCACACAGCAGGGGAGTTGAAACTAGATGATCATTATGGTCCCTTTCAACCCAGGCCATTCTATGATTCAATGATTCTAAGATTCTGTGTTTGTGGTGAGAGAGGAGGTGTTGTGGGAAGGACTACTCTGGTATGGGGAGTCCTGAGAGTGTAATCACAGTGAAGAATGTAGGGATACTTCTAGAGAAACCTGAAGGGAACAAGTGAAGAAATGTCCGTAGAAGCGAAATGCAGAAAATGAGGCACAAGAAATCAATCCCGTGGCACAGTCACACCTTGTCTTGGCTAATAACCTTTTCAAAACTGTCTTCTGGGAATCTTGACTGATATCTCACTTTTCATCATGTCTGCCCTAGGATGTAAGCCTCCAGCAATGCAATCACTCTGTGCTTGCAAAATCCCATCAATATTTGTGGCATTTGCATAAATGACTTTGTAATGACAAATGCAAACTCCCTGTTGGAAAGAGCCCACTGTCTTCTGAGGACATTGCATAAAGCTCTCAGCTGAGTTCCTTTTCTCCAAAAGTGTTAGCATCGTTCTTGCTCCCCAGAACAGCACAGTACAAGGCTTGGTTGTGCTTTCCACCCCATCTTGAATCTTGGATATGGTGAGAAGGATAGGTTTGTAAAGAAGGGGTGCTACCTCTTCCTTCTGCAGATGAGCAGTGGCCTTTAGTATTTGACTTCTGTCAACATCCTTGTCTGCAATTTTTTCTGTCAGGTGCCTCCTAAACATGTCTACCGTGTGCTGCAGTGCCAGGAAGAGGAGCTCACTCAAATGGTTTCCACTATGTCTGATGGATGGCGCTTTGAGCAGGTATGGGGAGGATAGAGGAGGAGGGTGAGGAGTTGTCTTCTGGAACACAGATAGATGGCTGTATGGATGCCATACAGCCCCCAGGCAAGGTATCTTCCCTATCTGAGAATATTGGGTCAGTTGTTGATGGTGCTGTCACACCTACCATCTCTCGCCTCTTCTCTTGAAGCTTAGAGGACATTCCCTGTTTTCTGCACTTGCTCAGCCTAATTATAAGGCCTTTCTAACTGGGGGCAGGGGCTGGAGTCCTGCTGTGCAGCAGGCTTCCTCCTTTACTCCCTAGGTGAAGTGGAAGTTTGCAGTAATATGTTTGTTATCACTTCTTTTGTCTTCTCCAGCTTGTGAACATTGGCTCGTGCTACAACTATGGGAATGAGGATCAGACAGAGTTCCTGTGTGTGGTCTCCAAGGAACTGTACAACTCTCCCAGTGGTCTGAGCTCTGAGTCCAGCCACAAAGCCAAGGTGAGACCAACTTCACTATGGCCTTTCTCCTATTGCTTATGAAACAATTTGCTCTTGTCACCCCCCTCTTCCTTTCTTCTCTCCACTGTGACTGTGGAGCACTCAGTAGTGAAATAGTGGTGATATACAGGGGCTTTATGACATTACACCACGACATTACACCAATGGCCCAAAAAAAGGAATGTGTATGTTCAAGTAGTGATGCCTGGCTGTGTGTGCCAAGTAGCTTTACCAAGTGACCCTGGCACTTCTCATGCTTCTCTAAAATCTTCCTTATACCTCCTCATGACCATGCTGTGTGATTTCCCCAAGGTTTCTGCAGCATTCTCATTCTTTTTTGAGTCCCATCTAAGTGACAGGAGGTCACTTTCTCGCCTTTGAAGGGAGGGATGGGAAAATGTGGTGTTGCATGACATCGTGTAGACACCTAGATACAAGAAGGAGCACTAGAAACTGATGGAAACTGTTGGGCAGTGGGATCACAACACATGTAAGAACAGCCCTTATATGTTGCTCTATAAGAAAAGTCTCTTTGCCCTCTGACCCAGCGCTGTCTTGGCTGTGGGGAAATGTCCCTTTCTATTTCAGCATCATGACCATTGCTTTATGCACTTGTGTATCAGCAAGAACTTCCATGGCTCATCTGGCAAGTGTCTCCACTCTTTCTTCCCTTTGTCCTGCATGCTGGCCTGCAGAGCGCAGAGGAGGACGTGGAGGAAGAAGAGCAGGAGATGGAGGAGGAGGCAGAGGCAGAAGCAGAAGAGAAAGGTGCAGCAAATCCTTGAGGAAAAAAATAGACTAACCCCCAGGCATAGATTCATCCACCTTTCTGGTGAGAACTCACAGCTAGCAGCAGGGAAGAACTAGGGCAAGTATGGGGTGGAGGGGACGTCCTCCCAGGGAGCAGGAGTCTATCTGGAGATAAAGCTCGTAGGGAGGGGTTGTTACCTTGGCTGCTGCTTTACGTTTTTAACTGTTTGGTTTATTTATATTTTTATTTGCAGACTGTCCATGTACTGGACACTCCCTCCTGCTCCCCTCCATCTCTGCACTGTTACCTGCCTGGGACACCCTACCCCATTCCCCAGCCTCCAGAATTCTCCCATCTGCTCTCTTTGCCCCTCACAGCCTCCTTCCAGCAGACCTGGTTCCCGTCTCCCCTTCCAAACCCAAGATTCCGTTTGTTCCCTCCTCAGGGCCCCATCTCTCTGTTCCTCACTTTTCCTACTCTGCAGGTATGTTACCTATATGCACTCTCAGATTCTGCCAGTTTGAGCTCTGCATGAGTGACTCACATCCTTCCATCTTGTGGATAAAGTCCTGGTTTGTAGAGCTTGGGGAGGGGGAGAAGCAATGGGAGGTTGAGTCATTTCAAAGGTGGCTTTTCTGATTCTCATCATACATGTGCCTTCACTTGCCAAGCAGTTCTTCCAGCTCTGGGCTGGAGGCTCTGGAAGCAGCAGGAAAGGTGCAATCAGGAGTAAGGAGGAGGGTGGGGAAGAATGGGGAAGAATGCAAAGCAGGCAGGGATGGCACAGGGGAATGCCTGCCATGTGGCTGCCTGCCATGCATGCCAGATCACTTCTCCTGATTGCCATCCATTCTTGCAGCTGCTCTGCCCTGCTCTGCTCATGCTTCCCTTGACATTGCAGTGCCAGAGGGTGCTGAAGGTGCAGTGGAAGCTGTGGGTCCCTGCTCCAGATGTTCCTCCCTGCTCCAGATGTGCTTGGAAGGGGCCTCTGCTCTGCCTCCTACTGAGGCTTCCCATCTGCAGCTGAACAAAGAAAGCTTTCATAGGAGCACCCCCCTCTCTAGCCAGAAAACAGATTTCTTGTTGAACTGGTGGTGCTCAGTGCCACTTTCCATCCTAGTGGGGGGCACTTGTTAGCTGGATGGCATTTCTCACTTCCCCTGTTCAAGAGCTTCCTTGTTGGTGGCTATGGGACCCGAGTGTTATTCTCTCAAAAGGCAGTGTGTGTTAATCAGACTTTTCCCTCATTTTTCTCTTTTCACCCCACCCTCAATCCTCTTCCTTTCCTTCTTCTTTTCCCTCTCCCTTTCTTTCTTCTTTTTCCTTTTCCTTTTCCTTTCCTTTCTTTATATCTTGTTTCCTCTGTCATGTGCTCTTTCCCTTTTTCTGTTTCTTGCCCTCTTTGATTTGGTTTCTCTCTCTCTCCTTCTCTAGCAGTTACAAGCCAGAGGCCTGAGGATGTGATCCTGAATCTGCACTCCAGCCTTTTAATTTCTGCTTGATATCTTTATTTTTGTACGGTAGCACATGGCAGCCCCCTGTGCCGCAGTGACACCCGCAGCCCCCTTCACTCTCCACACTCAGCTGTTGACTTTTACAAACTCATATCTGCCCGGAGGAGGGCAAATGCTCCAAGGAGAGCTGCAGGAGCTGGAGCTCCATCCTTTTCCTAGCAGAATGGCTTTCTTTAATGTCACAGTGGCCCCTGCTGGGGACATCAGTGATCAACCACTGCAGAACTTTGCTTCCTTCCTGAGCGCTGGTGCCCAGATGTGGCAGCATTTGCACTAGGACCACTCCTTGTCCATTCACAGTTGCAGGCAACTGGTCTGGGCTTTTGCCCAGAGGGCAAATGCAGAGACGCTGTTGGTTTTTTTTGTTTGTTTGTTTTTTGTTTTTTTCTTTCTGGGCCACCTGCATTGCTGGTGGAGTATCCCTGTGCTGGGTTTCTCCTTGCTGGTATCTCACTCCCTGTCCCCCTAAACATCTCTACATTGGATGGGTGTATGGAGGCAGGTGTGTGCTGCCTGAGTACCTGTTGGGGATGTGTTGGTACCTGACAGAAGGTCTGGTAGGACAGGAGCATCCCTGCCTCAGAGAGCCAGGGGTTCGCTTCACCACTGTGTCTGAAGATGCCAGGTTGTAGCTCCTAAATAAATCTCACACTTTCTTCCTCCTTGCTGCCTCTCATTCCAAGTGGTAGAAATTTGGCGTTGGGAGGCTGGACGAAAGGATCACCTGGAGCCATCAGAAGTTGAGCCTGACTACTGGGCACAGGGATATCTCCTGCTGCATTTGTGCTGCATCTCCATGCAGGTGGAGCTACAGAGCAGGTTTGCTAATCGCTGTCCACACCCCTAAGCTGTAATGATGAAGGCTGCCTATCTTGATGACATGTTGACCCTGCTGTGTCTGGACACAGCTGGGAGGGAGGGCAGGAGACTTGCACCAGTTTGCCAGTGCCAGGACTGCAGTTTGGCCAAAAAGATTCAAACCCCAAAAGAATTTGTAACATAATAATCATAGAATCATAGAAGTTGGAAAAGAGGACTAAGATTATCTAGTCCAGCCACCAGCCCATCCCCACCATGCCCACTGACCACATCCCTCAGTGCCACATCCACACGGCTCTGGAACACCTCCATGGACGGTGACTGCACCACCTCCCTGGGCAGCCTGTGCCACTGCAGCACTGCTCTTTCTGGGAAAAAAAATTTCCCCTGAACCTCCCCTGGTGCAACTTCAGGCCATCAGCTCTCATCCTAACTAGTAGACAATAATAAATCAAATTAAAGCAAAAAAAAAAAAAAAAATCAAATTATTTTTATTTCCAGAGTGGCCATGTTATATATATACATATTCCTACTTATGCATATATATATAAGTGTGTATGTATGTGTATCGTCAGTAAAAAACAGCTAAACCCATAGCAGTCACTTTCCAAAGCACTGTGCCCCTAAGCCTTCTCCTTCACCTCCTGCATTATCTGAGTTAGGATTCTGAAGCAGCTGAGAATCCCTCGTGTTGAAGGTGTTCAGAAGGGCTGAAGGGAGAGAGTAGGAGGGACGCTCTAATAGTTTTACTGCAGGCCTGGGATCTTCTGAGGGGCTCCAAGAGCAGCAGCTGGGTGCTGTTCCAACAGGGAGGCAGGGCATGATGCTGAACTCGTGTATGAGAGTCAGTGAGACGTGAAGAGTTGCCTGGCGGAGCTGAACAGCACACACCAGCTAAGAAAATAAGCAATTAGGAAGATGGAAGAGGAGGAGTGATGGGAGGGGAAGGGGGAAGAAGAATGAGCAGCAGGAAGGAAGAGGGAGGGAGATTGATTTCACAGTTACTGGAATCTCTAACTACATCAGTCACATTTTCTTTCAGCAGACGTTCCAGCGTAAGACTGTGGCTGAATCACATGGTTCATGGAAAGTTCAGCTCTTCTTGTACACGGCTGTGCCTGCTTTCCTCTGCAGTCCCCAGTGCAAGCTTTTGTGTTTTTCTTTTCACCCTTCTCAAAAGAGCATCCTGGGGCTGACAACATCCCCTACAGAAACTCTCTTTCTTTGAGAGGCAAATGAGCAAGGTCAGGAATGAGTGCCATTGTGAGCGTAGATCTGATAAGGAGAAAGTAGAGGTGCGTGTTTCTCAGCTCATGGTTTGGTTTATCCAGCCCAGAACTTGTGTGATCCTGGTGTACACTCCATAGTAATTTGGAAGCCCGCACCCCATTCCCCAGCTGACCAAGCCAGCCAGAAACCATCTGCCACTGGGCTCCTCACAGGCCAGTGGACCTCCAGAATCACCCTAGAGAAAGGGAGAGAAAAATGGTGTGATGGTGACCCACTGGCTTCTCCTACTATGTGTTCTTCATTGGCTTCGGAGTCCCTGTGCACATATCTCCTCAACTTATGTCTACACCATTCACAACATCCCTTATGCCTTAGACAGATGTCAAAACTGTCTCCTGCGCAAACATCTGATGTATTGCTGCATTCTTTCATCATGCAAATCCCTCCCCCTTAGCCAGCTCCCAGGCAGCTGGCAGATCTATTGTTTCCTTCTGCTCTGAGGCATTTGCAAATACATTGAGAGTGAGGAAGCTGGTGGAATTTAACAGGATATCCTGAGGGATGGGAAACAGGAATTGCTTGAGATTGATTTACTGTAATGAAGGAACTGACTGGTTACTGTGTCTGACAGATGCTAGTGAAAAGAGAGGGGAAGACTGATGTAGACATGTGACTTTGAAGGGGGAGGTGAAGAGTGGAAAATGAGCTGGAATGAGAAACTGAGAAGTTTCTGTGTATTTGGATCCTGTCTAAGGCAAAAATACTGGGAAGAAGTTGTCCTGTGAGCTGTTTTAGGCCACTGAGATCTGAGGAGTAACTGGGAAGTCAGGTGTTTGACAGTCAGTCTTCTGACCCTCATTTCAGGCTATGGAGTGCATTTGGGAGGCCTGGGACATAGTTCACCCATGCTACCCACCCTGCTCCCACAACCCCACTGTCACCTGGCAGGCATCCTTCTTGCCCTTGTTGTAGCCAGCACAGAGCATCCTGGGAGAAATCATGTAGTGATAGGCCTCGCTGCAGATGTCCTGCTGGATGATCTGCACATCCACCTTCTGCAAGATATTGCTAATGTGCCCTGGGGGTAGAGCACCAAGAGCAATGCAGGTGAGAAAAGGTGGAGCTTCCCACAGCTGGCCCAGTTCCCCCAGCCCATCCCCATCTCATTGCCTGCTGAAAGCTGCCGCCTGAATTTCTCTTCTACTATCCACAAGCATCAGAGTTTCTGACTTTCAGCAGTGCACTCCACCTGCCTGTCAGGAATAGCATTTCCCTGATTTCCCTGCAGGAATATGTCATGGGCATTTTAGCTTTTGGGACAAGGAGGGTTCTGTTTTGGGTCAACCTCTGGAATGCCAGCATTTAGGTTTGCTTCTCTTTGAAGTGATTTTTAAGCCATTCTGACTAAGCAAATCCGGGAGTGTTCAGTTCTGGACAGAATCCTCTGAGTATTTCCATTTGAGAAGCAGAGGAATTCTGGTTGTGACTGAAGACACAAAGCTGAACTGAGTGAGCATGTATGTATTCCTGTGCCCAGACTAAGCAGTCTGGGTCTGTTTGGTGGCCCTGAGGGAAGGGAATGTGAAGGATTATTCCCATATAGCTAAACTCTCTTTTCCTTACAAAACAAGAGGACTCTGGGAATCATGGGAACATATCTTGGACCATGCTGTCTCCCAGCTGTGTATGGGCTCTGTGTGTCCAAACTATGCTAATGTGGTTCTTGAACATCACTCAGACCCTGCACTAAATTTACTAGCACAGTTGTTGCTTGGGAAGATATGGCTGATAGGATCTTTAATATGGCATCCCCAGGAGAGACAGTTTAATGAAGGGTAGTCTTTTGTCTCAACTCTCTCCATTTGGGCACTGCCTCTGGAGAACAGCATGACAGGAGCCAACATGCCTGCATAGTGTGAGGTTGGGCTTTGGGACTGGGGCTGCTCCATGACCACGGGTAGCCAGACTAATAAATTCTGCAGGGTGATTCTAGACTTTGGATGAAGGGACACATGCTGTCCTCAAATATCTTACTAGACTCTCAAATTTACCTCTTTGAAAGAGATTTTGAGACATTCAGCAGGTAAACTGTGACCAAAAAGCAAAGGGAGTGAAGGATGCATAATAGTTCAGGGTGAGCAGAAGGCTGTTCTACCTACCCTACATCTGAACTTATGTTTCCACCTTAGTCCTGCTGCTGTAAGCCACCAGCAAAAACACTGCACTTACCACCTTCCTTGAGGGCTCCCCAGCCAGTGATCCAGCAGTGAAGGCCAGGCTCAAAGATGTGGGAAGTGGCAGGCAAGCAGATGGGCTGGATGAAGGGCGAGATGATCACAGGATGGTCCAGCTGGAGCAGGGCCACATCATAGTCATGGCTGTCCTCCTCATAATAAGGGTGGAGGAAGAGGCGGATCACTTTGAAGGACACCTCTGTGTGGCTGGTGATGTTTTGGAAGTATTTGCCCAAGTAAATGGTCCAGACAGAGGGAGAAGCCAGTCTGCAGGATGTAGCAGAGAAGAAAACTCATCACATAAACAGGGAAGGATGGGAAGAGGTTATCATCAAGATGATACCTCTAAGAAAATCCTATCTCCAGCAGGAGAGTGGGGAGCACAGGGGAACTTTCCCTGGCCCTAAGCAGAAAGAAGCAGGAAAAGATTGTTTTAGACTCAAAATTTTGTCTTTTTGCCTTACACATGCTGTTTTCTCCTACACTACCTATCTGGGTACGAAAACCTCCCTGTTTTCCTATGGCCATCTCTCTGTTCCTCTTTTCTCTCCTTCTATTTCTTATCTCTCACCCGACTTGCAATGTCTCCCTGCCAAGCGCATGCACAGACATACCATCTAACAGGGCTGAACTAGCTTTATCCATTCTGCATCAGGACTCCTCAAGATGACCAAAGTTCGTGTTTCCTCCTGAAAGGACAGGCCCTGGGGATGAGGAGTGTGGGAACCAAACAGCATCTTGAGCAGGTGATGGTATCCCAGTCTCATCCTACCACACGCTGATCTGTCCACAGCAGTAGCAGCATTGGGAACAGGTCAGAGCCAAAGGAAAGGAGGACCGACCTATGAGGTGTCTTTCACCACTATTGTTCACCCAATGCCACACTATGAATCTTAACATCTTTCTCTGCTCCATCACCCTCCCCTCTCCATTCACCTCTCATCCTGGAAGCAATGTGCAGCTGAGACCACCCAGCGGTCAGCAATGAGCGTTCCCCCACAGATGTGGCGTCCCCGGACTTGCAGGCTGGCTTGCCATGGCCATTCTCCTTCCACAGAGTTAGCACCACCAATGATCCTGCTGAGAGGAGCCTGTAGCCCACAGTCTGTGGAGAAGAAGACATGGTTCATTCTTTAGTGGATGAAGGAACATGAGATATCTTGTCTGCCCTTCCTTGGAGTTGGAAATTGATCTTTGAGGTCCCTTCCAACCCAAGCCATTCTATGATTCTGTGATTCTACAATTCTACTCCTTTGGACCCTTGCCCTACCTGGTAATAGGGAAGCTTCAGAGACACCAAGAAGGGCATTCAAAGCATAAACTCTCTCCCTGCCCAAATTGGGGTTGTGGGGCATCCTGAATCTGTCTGTCTAACTTGGGGTTGAGCATTTTCTTACCACAGTGCTTCTCATCAGATAGGTCCTTGCAGTCCACAGTGGCATCACACAGCGGGTTGGGTTTCTTAACACAGGTCCCATCGTCACAATGGTGGGTGAAAGGACCACAGGGGACCACTGTGAAGATGAAGGGGAGACAGGGCTAGGGGAATGTGAGCTACACTACCAACAGCCTTGGTTTGAGAGCAGGACAAGGCATGTGTCAGCCCCTCCCTGTCCCTTCCCTACCTTCACTGCAGTGCTCCTCATCGCTCCCATTGACACAGTCCCGCTGCTGATTGCAGACCCTGCTGAACTCAATGCAGGTGCTGTCCTCTTGGCACTGGAACTTTGCAGGGCACACTGCATAGGATGAAAGCAACCAGCAATTAAATACACTAGACATAGGTGCAATGTCACCAATAGGCTCCACAACCTCTTTCTCTGCCTCATGAGAGCCTGGCAGCCTATGCACAAGGCATTTAATTTCAGGTTCTTGTTGTTGGTCTTTGCCTGAGCTACGCTGTAGATATTTCTGCACCACATCTTATACTTTGCTGATTTTGACCTGGCTCGCTTTGATTTCTTGGCTTCACCTCAGACCTGCCTCAACACTGTAGGCTTGTCTCATGGACCCTGGGCTCT